GTGTACAGAGGTGCTCTGGTTGGCACTGCTCTTTTTGGTTTAATATTTGTGTACTGTACGTGTTACATGATTTAATTGATTTGTTCTTGTTTTTTATGTTTCTTTTCACATGCTACCAGTCATCAGAACAAACTACTTTAGTATGTATAATGAAACAAGACATAGGAAAAATACTGTTTATATATTATTATGTATATGATATGTATATAAAATATAATCATGTCTCTACAAAATTTGTCAATTAGCTACATAAATAATATATCAACACCAATGAAGTTCACGTCAGCCAGTAATAGTGCTGTCTGGAGGCACCTAGCTTATATGATATCGGCATTATTGTTACTTCCTAAAATGTTCATATTATTTCTTCCTGTATCACAAATAGTGTTGTCAACATGAAATATATTTCATCGTGGTGTCAATACTGTAGCGTTACGAAGGTCAGCCGATGTAGTCGAGGATCAGTGATGTAGCATGGTCTCTGTGTGGCTGTAGTTATGATTTGTGTTTATTTTGTAACACGGTAATGGTACAATGTACTAATGGATTGTCTACATGTTAGCGATGATCCAATCCCTATGGTAAGAGGTCCTGCTATAGACGGAGGCTCCTTTCCTGCAGTTTTCGTTACCCCATGAAACAACTCCCGCCTGCATCCAGCTCCCATTTACAAAGCACTGCAGAGGACCGCCGCTGTCACCCTGGAACACAAGCGCCAACAAAACACTGTACCATTACAACTTCAAAGTCTGCATTATCACATTAGTATTGACAGCTAAGTAGGTAGGTTTGACAACTCGTGTATCTTTATTGGCAGTCATTCGTCCGGTCCACTGAGTTTTCCGAGAGGTTCCCCAGTGTACATTGAGATCTATTGTATCACGCGTTCGATGCCTTAAATCAGGGCCGTTTTCGTTTAAACAGTCAAAACGGTCGGACCACATTTGTTCGTTTATTAAATAAAGTCGGACCTAGTAATCTGATGCTGCTTTCAGGCGAGCCTTGGCAAAGCCCTGCAAGGCCTGTTTAAACATTTACAAGTCCGCCAGGATTTATACCCGAAATTGTTACATTTATAAACGGACAACCCGGTTGTTCCGCATAAACGAACAGGCCCTAGTATTTATTATACGGGAGGACCTGAACCAGCGGTAAGTTCGGATATACCTGACAGTTTTATCTTGTACATTAAAATTTGCACAACAGAATTTCATAACAGTACATTAAGACTTACATAACAGTACATTAAGACTTATATAACAGTACATTAAGACTTATATAACAGTACATTAAGACTTACATGTATATAACAGTACATTAAGACTTATATAACATTACATTAAGACGTATATAACAGATGCTTCGCCCTATTGACTAAACATCTATAGAACGTCAGGGTGTTTTTAGAGTTATATACAATAAACACAAGACACACAATATGTTATGTAGAAATCATAAAATACAAAAAGAAGTTTTCCTCCTGTTTCAGATTTGTACCTCCACCTAAACCTCCGCCCTACCCACCTTATGTTATAGGGGGATCGTCCTTTTGCATTAAGAAATATTTATTGGAAGTTGCGATATCACGCATCTAAACTTTCTCCTCGTTGCACTGATACTTACATAACAAGACCCCTTCGGTTCCGAGTCGGTACAAATCATATCGTCCGAGACGGTATAGGGGCTGAGGCTGGCCTCGCACTGAGCATTTGTCACTACCGGTGTTTCAAGTTGCTGCAGTATTTTGGCGGAACTGGAGGGTCCTAAGAAAGCAGCGAAAATAGTTCAGTTATACAATTTCTTAAACACTCAAATACTTTTAACTAGTACAACAATCACACAAAACATTGTGCATAACAATATACAGTTAAGTAAGATATGGTTTATTGTAAACACGATTCATGTTTTACTTAAGTTAACAGTCGATATAGTGGTAACATATTGACGGGAACAGATGACAGAGGAGTAACATATTGACG